TGTTCCGATGCTTTTGACACCTAAGAAGGGTGGCTCTTGGTGGTTGTGTGTGGATAGTCGTGCAATCAACAAGATTACAATCAATTATTGCTTTCTAATTCCAAGATTGGATGATATGTTGGATTGCCTTGCCGGATCAACGATGTTTTCTAAGATTGATCTTAGAAGCAGGTATCATCAAATCCGCATCAAGCTTGGTAATGAGTGGAAAACATCCTTTAAGACGTCTCATGACCTATTTAAGTGGCTTGTGATGCAATTTGGACTTACCAATGCTCCAAGTACTTTTATGAGGGTGATGACACAAATGTTGCAACCATTTTTGGGGGTGTGTATAGTGGTCTACTTCGATGATATCTTGATCTATAGTCAAAGTTTGGAAGAGCATTTGTGCCACCTTTGACAAGTCTTTGAACTTTTGAGGCGAGACAAGTTCTATGACAACACTAAGAAGTGCACCTTTGCCGTGGACCAAGTCATCTTCTTGGGTTATGTTGTGTCTTCTCATGGGGTGCTTATGGACGTGGAGAAGGTCAAAGCAATTGTGGAATGGCCCACTCCTTCTAGTATCCAAGAAGTACGGAGTTTTCATGGTTTGGCTACTTTCTATAGGCGATTTATCCAAAACTTTAGTAGCATCGATGCCCCTTTGACCAACATTCTTAAGCTTAAAGCTTTTGAGTGGAGCAAGGAAGCCGCCGATAGCTTCCATTTTTTGAAGAAGTTACTTACCGAGGCTCCAATTTTGGGAATACCGAATTTTGACAAGACCTTTGAACTTGATTGTGATGCATCAGGATTGGGTATTGGAGGTGTCCTTAGCCAAGAAGGGTGGCCCATTGCTTTCTTTAGTGAAAAGTTGAATGGGGCTAAGCTTAAGTATTCCACTTATGATTTGGAATTTTATGCCATTATCCAAGCCTTCAAGCATTGGAACTACTATCTTGCATACAAGGAGTTTGTGCTCAACACCGATCATAAAGCTCTCAAGTACATCAATAGTCAATCTCATCTTAACAAGCGCCATGCCAAATGGGTGGCCTACTTGCAACAATTCACATTCTCTTTGTGCCACAAATCGGGGGTTCTTAATAAGGTGGCCAATGGGTTAAGTAGGTGAACGACTCTCTTGAATGAAATGAAAAATGAAGTTGTGGGTTTTGATGAATTTCGTACATTCTATGCAAGTGATCCTTACTTTTCCAAGATCTTTAATGCTTTGCAAATGGGGGATCAGATGGCTTATCCAAGTTACATGATAAGAGATGGTTTCCTTTTTCATGGCCTTAAGTTGTGTGTTCCTAGTTGTTCCTTGAGGACACATTTGTTGGTTGAGCATCATAAGATGGGGCATTTTGGTAAGGACAAGACCCTTGGATTGCTTCAAGATGCTTATTATTGGCCGGGCATGACCAAGGATGTGCAAAGTTATGTGAAGCATTGTCAAATTTGTCAAAGGAACAAGGGAACTGCCACTAATGCGGGGCTACATCTACCTTTACCAATGCCGGATGCTCCTTGGCAGTGCATTAGTATGGACTTTGTGTTGGGCCTCCCTCCTACTCAAAGGCGGAGTGATTCTATCCAAGGTTTTGAAACCCGGACTGGACCGGCCGGTTCAACCGGTTGAACCGGTGACCGGATGGGGTTCCAGTCCGATTAGCCCTCTTAAACCGGCCAATTGCAAAAACCGGACTATTTATTGAAAACCGATGAACCCACCGGTTAAACCGGTGAACCGGTTGACCCGGTCACGGGTTGATCGAACCGGTCCGGCTCCTTTTTTTTTCAAATTTTTTTTTTTCAGTTTTTCTTTCTTTCTTTTCTCTTTCTTTCTTATTATATATATATATTATATATAAAATATAAGAAAATTTTAATTTGAAACTCTTTTTCAAGGGATGACTCTTGTGAGGAATCCCATTAAGAGTTTGATGAAATTATTGTGAAAGTCTTCACCTATTTATAAGAAAAAAACTCTTTCAAAAAAACTCAAGAAATCCATGTGGGATTCAATCAAATGTATTGGAGGGAATATTGAAATTTTGATATCCCTCCAAAATTTTTGCTTTCCTTTCAATCAAATTATTTGAATTAAAATCATATGGAGGGAATATTAAATATTTGATTTCATCTTCCAAAATTGAAATTAATAATATTTTAAAATATATTATTATATTTTTCAGTAAAAAAAATATTAGGACAAATATTTAAGATAATTTAATATTTTTAATATTTTTAATTTATAATTTTATTACTTATATTTTTATTTAAATATAATTTTAATATATTTATTACGTCACGGTTAAATTCCGGTTCAACCCGACGGTTGAACCGGTGACCCGTCCACCCAATCCTTTTTCCGGTTCGTTCACCGGTCCGGTTTTTAAAACATTGATTCTATCATGGTAGTGGTGGACCATTTCTCCAAGATGGCACATTTCATACCTTGCAAGAAGATCATGGATACTACAAACATTGCTAATCTCTTCTTCAAAGAAGTCTACAAGTTACATGGGGTGCCTACTTCTATTGTGTCCGATAGAGATGCTAAGTTCCTTGCTCACTTTTGGAGAACTTTGTGGAGGAAAATTGGCACGGACTTGAGTTTTAGTACTACATTTCATCCGCAAACCGATGGTCAAACTGAGGTAGTGAACCGTAGCCTTGGCAACTTGTTGTGGTGCCTTGTGGGGGATCACCCCAAGAGTTGGGATGGCATCCTTCCTTTGGCTGAATTTGCTTATAATTCATCTATCAACCGCACCATAAATACTTCTCCCTTTGAAGTAGTTTATGGGACAAGGCCTTCAAGTGTGGTGGATTTGGTGCCTATGCCACTCTCAAGGAGAGGAAGCGTTAAGGCGGAGGAAATGGCCACGTTCATAAAGAGCATTCATTCTCAAGTGAGGGCCCAAATTGAAGTCTAATGCAAAGTATAAGGCAGCCGGTGATGTGCATAGGCGAAAGTGGTGTTTGAAGTAAAGGATCTTGTGTGGGTGGTATTGAGAAAAAAGAGATATCCCCATGGCACCTACACTAAGTTGAGTGATAAGAAGGTGGGACCTTGTGAGGTGTTACGCAAGATTAACGACAATGCTTATAAAGTCAAGCTACCGCTTCATTTAGGCATATCCAATACCTTTAACGTACAACACCTTGTACCGTACTTTCCGGATGCCTCTTCCATTGATGATACCTTTACCCTTGTAGAATAGTTCCTTGAAAAGTTGACATCTTGTACTTTGGGTTTGTGTCTTTCATTTTTAGTATTGGTTGCATTTTGTTGTCTTCACTTGAGGACAAGTCTTTTCTTAAGATGGGGAGTATGATGTAGTGTCATGTGCATAGCATGTGTTAGATAGTGTATCTTATAAATAGAAGAGTACCACGTCACTTGTAACTAACTTGGATATATTGAATTTGAATTGAATTGAGAATTTCTCTCTCTAATCTCTCTCTAAGTTCCTCTTCTCCTACTTCTTGATTGACCCATCAAATATATAAAGTAAAAAACAAAGACATTGATCAGATTTGTAACGGGTTTTTTTTTTTAATTAGAATTCCAAAGAAATAACTTACTCCCTCCGTCCCAAAATAATGGTCCCTTTTAGGGAATCCGACTTTTTTTTGGTAGTACAATTATTGTACTTTAAAAAAGTTGATTTTCCAAAATTACCCTTTGATAGTAAATTTTTCGGGGAATAGCAATATCATAATTGTACTTTTTATATTGTTTATGAATTCAAAAGAAGGGTAAAATAGAAAATTTATATTATTTTTGTATTTGATTTTTGAAGAGGGACTAATATTTTGGGACAATGAAAAATTGAATAAGGGACTAATATTTTGGGACAGAGGAAGTACTTGACAATGTTTATGTGATCCATCTCTTTCAGCATAGAGATTTCTCAAACTGTTGTATATGGGACACCATTTTTGTAGTCCAAAGTATGCAGTCTCTTTATAGCTACAATTTGATTAGCCTCGAGATTAAGACCTTTGGGAATAATATGGTAGGCGCCGAGTCCAATAACCTTACCCAGCTTATACTGCCAATTCAACAGCTTTAGTTTATTGAAAACACACAACACACAACACACAACATATATAAATTGATTCATGGTGATTATGATATTGAACTACACAAGCACAACATCGATCCTCTACCTTTTCCACTTGATTGGCTCAAAGCTATTGAAGGATAATCCAAAGATGATGTGATCTAGAAATTTGAAAAATTATCAGAATTTTAGGATTTCACTCAATAATAAATAAATATATATCATTAAAAATTTTAAACTCAATCATACATTTATTAAAAATGAGAAAAACAGAGCAAGAAAAAACATTAAGCTTATGCAACTCAAATATTTCCGACAAAAAATTGCAAACAAGCATTCCATTTTGCAATGAACAGAAAGAGAGAAAACTAAAAAAAAAAATCAAAATTAAAAAATAAAAAAGTAAAAAATAAAAAAAAGGGAGAGAGAGGAAAAAAAAACCCAGTAAATATATGATAGATTGATCCCAGCAGAATGTACAAAGTTTCACCTTCCAAGATTGCGAGAAAACCCACAAATTATTGAGTGATAATATCAGACTCACAAGAAAACAAGAAAGCATGAGATTCATGAATGGAAATTGAGAACATTCAGGAAAAAGAAACCAAGAATTCTGTGGAAAACATCAGTGATCAAGAAGCAAAGTCATCAATATTCTTTCAGGAAAGGGATTTAGAGTCAGAACAATTCTAGAGAGAGAGAGAGAGGTGATGAGATTTCATGGTTAGATATTTGGGGCAGAACTCTGTTTCTTTGGATAATAACCCTAACTACAAAAAAGGTTAATTACTAATGTAGAGAAACATGGTCGGGTCGAGTGGAGAAAAATGATTCATATAGCCAATCCCATATTTGAGGAACAAGTCACATGTTTCTCAAATATTAACAAAGAAAAAGAAAAAGATGCCAATAACAATCAATTTGAGAGCCAGAAAATGTTTCTTGAAACCAAATCAAATGGATTGGGATGTAGACAAATTTGTTGAGTTGAGTTAGATTGAGATCTAAGTTTATAAAACCTAATTACATAATTGCATAAAGCCTGTTCCTAGCACAAATTGGTTGCAACAAAAGCGTTCTGAGTGTGGAGAAAATTTAAAATGAATGAAAGAAAGACCACCAACAGATACTCTGTGAACTGACAACAACAACAGCAAAGAAAAGTTGAGGACATGGAATCAAGGATCATCATCACCAACATAATCCTCTTATTTTTCAGCAGCATCATCACCATCATAATCTTCTTCTTCTTCATCATCATCACCATCATCATTCTTGAAGTACACATGTGCGAGCGCATCAAGAGCTGAAATTCTTCTAGCTGGATTTATGCAGAGCATTGCCTGGATGAAAATGCGCAAATTTAACATAAACAAGATGGTCTAAGAGAGTGATAAAAAATAAAAAAAAAATAAAAAAAGAAGAAGAAGAAGGAGGATCTTTTGTCGAAAACATTTTCCTACGAAGAATGAAAGTAAACGTTTTGTAGAAAGAAATAAAATAACATAAACATTTTCCTAGAAAGAAAGTAAAGGAAGGAAGAAAGAGAGTAAACAAAGTAATGACACCCTTTGTTGCGGGGGAAAATATTTGCCAGTGAAGAACATTTTTTCATAAAATATTTTTTTGTAGAAAACTTTTTCGTATTGGTTGTGGCCTTGGGGTGTTTTGAGAAGATAGTTAAAACCTGCTTTTTGACTTTTTTGAGAGGGAGAAGTGGGTTAAAAGTTGGGGAGTAGTTTTTAACCCACTTCCCAAAATAGGCCGAAATATTTTCCACCCAAATAAGCCTGTTTTCCATTAACTTTGGCTTTTATCCGTTATACCAAACACCAAGAAATGCCAAAAATATTTTATGTCGAGCATAAGTGAAAGAAAGAAAAAAGGAAAAAAGGAAAGAGAAAATGAAAATAACATTATAAACTAGAGAGGGTAGTTAAACAAAAGGACTATTCATTGCAATCCAAACTTCCAAAGACGAAGATTTATTAGGTTCTATTTTCATTGCTATCAAAAACAAAACTGTCACATATAGGAAAATGTTCATTCAGATAAACATTCTCAAAAAGACATTACAAACAAGCAACAACTTACAGAAAGAAGATCGACTCCAGCTGGTTCAAGATTAGGAACATATTCTGCCAGGTTCTGCATCAAAGAAAGAGAAAGCGAAAACAAATTTTACAACTTGATGACTTGCAAAATAAATAAATAATGAATCAAAAATCGATGTTACCTTAGGATCTTGCTTGGGAAAGTCATCAGGTATGTAATCCGGTAGTGAGGTCACTCCAGGCCATGTTGTTGCATCTGGTGTCCCCATAATGCTGCAATAAAAATAAACTGAATATAAATATGCCTTTAGTGGAAAAATATAAATAAATAAAAAATGATGCGGTGCACATAAGCACACCTAAAAATTTTCTGCAGACGATCTTTCTCGAAGAATTTATTAAACAGATGCCGATGATTAATCATCTCAGCAAATATACAGCCTACAGACCACACATCGACATGGGTGGAGTATAAGTGGGAGCCAAGGAGGATTTCTGGTGGCATGTAATATAAATTTACTACCTGATGAAGAAAACTACCCATTATATTAGATTCATAAAAAAACAATTGACATTTAAAGATCGAAATACGAAATTAACAAAGTTCAACTCAGGTATCCTTCCTATCAACTTCATTTTAAAGCAATTGTTATATTAGACAGCTAGCAAATGAACGCAACCAAAAACATTTTCAAAAAAATAGTAATAATAACAATATTTGAAGAAAAATCATACGTGAACATCATCTAAGGTGAAAGTCAGATTCTTTCAATTGCCAAGGCAGCAATGCAAAAATCAGATGAAAGCATTGTGGATTAAAAACAGCAATAAAATAAAAAAATAAAAAAATAAGACAATTTAAAGGCCTCATTCAGGCAAAGTGAACTTAAAGGATACAAGAAATACCTCCGGACAATATTCCCCAAGAGGACTACCAAATTTCCTGGCCAATCCAAAGTCTGCAATCTTCACCACGGAGCCATCGTGATCTACCAGCAAATTGTCAGGCCTCAAATCACAGTGCACAATTTTGAGCTCATGACAGTACGCAAGACCAGAAAGAATTTGACGCAGAAAATTCTGCAAAAGGGGAAAAGAAAAAATAGAAAAACAGAAGAGGAAGAAGTTAAGCGACACATCATGAGGTTACAAACAATCAGCACATAGAACATAATATGGAAAAGATCTATCGATCCACCTTTATTCTTTGTTTATTCTTAGATTCTTTTGGAAATTTCTTCATGAATTTCTCCAGATCATAGTCCAGATATTCAAAAATCATGTAGCCTTCTTTGTCAGTAATGGGTATTGCTTCCAGCAACCTGTTAATCGAGGTCCTGTTAAGTATATAAGTGAAATATATAAAGTACTAATGATTCAATCTATCTATCTATAATAATAATAAAACAAAAACAATAAAAATAAGTAAATGACACCTATTTATCAAAGGGTGTGTTCAGTCTCTTAGATTTTTTCAGAATTAAAGGATGCCAAATAGTCCCCTCTTTCAAGTTGCAACAAAAATACAAGCAAATTAGGACGTTTTTTTCTTGTCAGACGTGATATGAAAACATTATCTAATTGGTGATATCACAGGTTAAAGTACCTATTTAATTGTTTGTCACGTGCAATCACCGCAAAGGTAGTGTTAATAATCCAAAAAACCTGTGTGTCTATGTGCCAACTTGCTCACACACAAAAGCATGGAAACATTGATCAGATTTTTAATGGATTTTGCGTAATCAGAATTCCAAGGAGATGACTTACTTGACAATGTTGGCATGTTCCATCTCATTCAGCAGAGAGATTTCTTGCATTATTGTACTTGGGACACCGTTGTGCAAGTCGTCCGAAGCATACACCTTCTTTATAGCTACAGTCTGTTTAGTCTCGAGAAGGAGACCTTTGTTAACAACACTAAAGGCACCGGATTCAATAACCTCACCCATCTCATACTGCCAATTCACCAGCTAGATTTATTGACAGCACAAAATAAATCGATGATGATGATATTGAACTACATAAGCATAACACAGTTACACACATCCTATACCTTTTCCATTTGGTTGGATCAAAGCCACCGGAGGATAATCCAAAGATGCTGTGATCTAGAAATTTTCAATTAGACCAGAATTTTAATATTATTATGCTTATTTTTTACTAGTGAAAAAGAACATTAAAAATGTTAACTCAATCAAACTTTAATTACACATGAAAAAATCAACAAGACAAAAAAAAATTTGCAAAAAAGTCGCTCATATGCAAAGAATAGAAACAGGGGCAAATCCTCTAATTATATGATAGATTGATCCCATGATGCACAAAGCTTCGCCTCCCGAGAATGGGAGATGGTAACATGATATTCAGAAAACGTAAGCCAAACCCAGAAATTATGCTTATCAAAAGAAGAAGATAAGTTATTGATTGATAATCTCAGACTAACATAACATCTTAAATAACATGTGTAGGTAAATATAGAAATTTGTATATCTATTGATATTCATCTATCAAGAACTGAAAATATATATATATAAATATATATAAAATTAAGGAAAGTGAAAACACGCAGGAACAAGAAATCAAGAATTCTGCAGAAAGCTACAAGAAGTAGAGTCATGAATATTCAACGGGAAAAAATTCAGTAAATGTATGATAGATTGATTCCAGAATTTACAGAGCTTGTAAAATTCCCAAACCCATAAATTATTGAGTGATAATCTCATACTAACAATATATATGTAGAGAATTGTGTATATATATATGAATTGAAATTCACCCATCAAGAACTTTCAAAAATAAGGAAATAGAGAAATATTCAAGTACAAGAAATCAAGAATTCTGCAGCAAACATCAGAAATCAAGAACAGGGATGCTAAGAAAATTATTCAATAATTGAATTCGGTAATACGGAGGTGCCAAGAAACATATGTATCGAAATGTGCATATACCTCCGTCAAGGATTTATGATAAAACATAACGAAATTGAATACAATAGTTTCAGATTTGAAGAAACGATGAAACCCAACTGTTATAGACATAGAGAGAGAGAGAGAGAGAGAGAGAGAGAGGAGCTTACTTGACTAGATTAAATTGCTTCTCTAGCTCTGTTCGTACTTGAGTTTTAAAGTATGCATTATATATTTATAGAGAGGGAGGGGGAGAGGGAGAGAGAAGGAGAGGATGTTAGTTGGAGCCGCAAATGAGATGAAACAGAATTTCCCTCCAAATATGGTAGTTTTTGTTTTCAAAAAACTGTTTTACAGTTTTTTCCCCCCTTTTTTCTCATTAGTAAAAAAATTTATATTTTAGGCAATTTTTTTTTTTACTTTAATCTAAATGTATTTATGTGAATAAATACCTAAATAAAAAATGTCTGCGCTTTTTTTTAGTGTCTTTAATTAGTGTTTTTAATATATATTTTTCACATATATTTTTAGGTGCATTTAAATGTAAAAAAATTGAAAATCAAATCAAACAAGTTCCGTAGTTTAAAAGAATGCATGCAAATTGTGAGAGAAATAATCAAGAGTATTTTTTTTAGAAAAGCTCCTCCTCCATAATCTTCAAAGTCTCCTCTCGGCCTTCAATAGCTCCTCGGTTTGCTCCTTCTCGATCCTTAGTTGTTGAAGCTTTTCTTGCAACTCTTTCTCGAAAGATTGATTTTGTTGTTGTTTTGCTTTCGTCCCCACTTTCTTAGTTTTCTTGGCAGAGTAAGGCTGTGAGAGGCTGTCATGGTTCTCTTTCACCACAAAGTCCTCCAATGGCGGCACAATCGGGGTCGGAGAGGGTTGAGAGATCATTGAGGCCAAAATGTTGGCTTCATTTGGTGATGGTTTGTTTGTTTCAATGCCTTTTCTAGACCTCCCTTTCTTTGCAGGGACTGGTTCTGGATATTTACTGATTTCAGCATTATGGCATATGTAGAAATGCAAGTATCTCTTGTGTGGCACAATGGAAAAAATTTGCATTTTCATGAGATGCAATTATGTCTTATGCACCAATAAAATAATCTTGTGTGGTGTAATTTTTTTTTAACTGTCTGACTTGTATACAATTTGTCCTAAATATAATTAGCCCTGGAGAGAGAAACCAAGTAAACCGAATTTTTGACTCATGCTTGCTTCTTGTCATTTTTATTTTCCTTTGTTTTTGTTTCTCATATCTTTTAAAACTACAAACAATAAAAAGTTCAAAAAATCCATATTATTTTCATATTGCTATAAAAACAGTTTTCAGAATTCAAATTTAACTTTTTGGTGTGTCATAAAAAGTGGATTTTTTTTTTTTTTCAAATCAATTCCAGAAAAATGGTTTTAGGAAAAATTTACCTAACAAGATTATGTGTTTTATCCAAAAAAAAATGGAAACAAAAACCAAAAACAACAGCAAAGAGGCAATTTAAGGGCCACTAATGTTTCTTGAAACCAAATAAGCAAAGTTACAATGAATATGAAAAACAAATAACCTAGCTCGCTCAAATTCAATCCTAGAAGTTAATAATAGTCTGTCAACATAACAACAACAACAACAAAAACAAACAAAAAAACAAAAGTGAAGGACACGGAATCAAGGATCATCATCATCTTCTTCTTCTTCTTCTTCTTCTTCTTCTTGAAGTATGCATGCTCAAGCACACGACGAGCTGAAATTATTCTAGCTGGATTCATGCAGAGCATTTCCTGGATGACAATGGGCAAAATTAACATAAACTACATGGTCCAAACAAGTGAAGGAAAATAAGAAGGAAAAAAAAAAGTCTTTCAGCAAAAAACATTTTCCTGCCAAGAAACTAGACAAATTAATGCCAGACAACATTTTTTGTAAATGTTTAGTTGTGAATTTGAAACTAATGCTATAACGTCCCAAATTTCTAGCCCAAATGATAAGACAACAATCATGGCTGTATCAAGAAAAACTAAATATAAATCTCCAAACTTACATTACATGATACAATAGTTCTTTATGCAACAATACATTAATCCAACGACAAGTAAATAAACAAATAAATACCCCCAAGGGTTTACAAGTTCCCAAGAGTTGAGTCTGGTTACACAAAACGGTTATTCAAACCCACACAAACATAGCCCTTAGCTTATACACAGAGTCACAGCAAATGAAGGCATTGTACTCCCAACACACATACTTTCACGCCCCTAGTTGGGTGGGATCACCACATCTTTTCCTGCACAAAAATCCCGTAGGGTGAGCATAAAGCCCAGTAGGAAATTCTTAACAAAATATATACGTTTTATACAAGTCTCAAGAGATGAAATGCATATGCCATACTATGCCCTTTTTGAAGATAAATCACATTTTCATCTTTTGGAAACCATCATGCTCAATGATATCATGCGATTTCAATTGTTCAAAACTTAACAATTTATTTCAAGGGCGGTAAATACGACTCTGGTAATCCCTAGGTCGATATCTGCAAGTAGACTATACAAGTACTACCAATTTGCCATTTTTACCACCATTGACTGGAAGACTCGACACCTATAATTTGTCATTTTTACCAGTATTAATTGGAAGGCTTGACACTTTCAATTTCATCTACACCACTTGTCAAGACTTACCACCGTATTTACCCCATAACCAATTCATGGAAACTTGTTTCTCAACATTCTTTTCTCAATGCAAGTTTTCAAATCAACTTTCAAAATTTAATGTAATCTGTTAGAATTTACCATTCACACTCACCTACTACACTCCACTACTCACACTCACCTACTACACTCCACTACTCCTCACCTACTACCCAAACCCTCTCCTATATAATGCCACTCTGATTTGTAATACTATATATCAATAAAGAACAATCAATAATAATACATCAGTTATTTTTTTTCATGGTATCAGAGCAGGTTTAGAATCTAATATTTTCGCTTCTCCGGCGGGCGGCAACCTCACCTTAGCTGCCCGCCGGACCTCAACCTAGTCTGCTAAAATTTTTCTACACATACCTTAAAATTTCCTTTCTTCCACCTGCTGAGTGCACAAACCACAGACAGCACACATACAATTCTCTCTCTCTCTGGTTAATCAATTTTCAAAGCTATCAAAGGATAATTTGGAAAATCATCTAGATCTTGCAAAAATATATATATAACTCTAAGAAAATCCCTACCTCAAGATTTGAAGAAGAAATGAGATGAAACCTCCAAAATCAACGGTGTCGAAACTCGATCTTCATCGTACACAACGAAGCCCTCAAGAAGTTAACCAACTTTGATGAAGAACTTATGGCAGAACTCTAATGGATCTTGAGAAATCAAGGTTTTGATCCTATTTGGCGTTGGAAAATGTAGAAAGAAGGGAGAGGAAAGGGTTTTTTTTTTTAGAGAGAGGGATATGCAAAAGTGATATGAAATATCAAATTCATGAACTAATATAACATGGTCCGCTCTAGCGTGGAAAGTCCCGCCCGAGCGTTAAATACACTTTCTTAATACTTTTGCAGACAAGTCAAACTTCTGAAACCAAACATTCTCCGCTCAAGCGGACAAGCAACTTCTAATGCATTTTGCATTTTTGCTTCGAAGGCGCTGCCCTTCAACCCCGCCAGGGCGCTGCCCTAGGACCCGCCAAAAGGCGCTGCCCCCTGGACCCCCGCGAGCTGACCGAGCAGCTCGATCCCCGCCAGGGCACTACCCTTGGACCTGCCAAGGGGCGCTGCCCCCTGGACCCTCGCGAGTTGACCGGGTAGCTCAATCCCCGACATAATCAGCGAAGTGGCAAAACTGGGACCGCTACAAATGTTCTCGTGGTATTGGCGTGGTGGGGCTGCAGTGATGGGGTCATGGAGTGGTGCCAGTGTCAGCTGTGATAGTGGTGGTAGGAATTCAGTCCATAAAACACAAAACGTTTTCCATTTTAAAGTAAAAAATGTTTTCTGTCCAAATAAACCTATTTTCCGTTAACCACATCAAAAGTTTTCAGTTGACTATCATTTCTCATCATATCAAATGCCAGAAAATGACAAATGAAGCAGATGCAAAACAACAATAAAAGGACAAAAAAGGAAATAGACAATTGAAAGAAAATGATAAACTAGAGAGCACAGTTCAACTAAAGGGTGAAAGATGGATATGGACAGAGTAACATAATGATTCATTGTTATCCAAAACAAAGCTGTCACACATGTATGGAAAATGTTTTTTCAAATCATTATTCTTAAAAAAAAACACACATTTGAAAGCAGCAACAACTTACAGAAAGAAGATCAACACCTGCTGGTTCTAAATCAACAAAAAATTCTTCCAGATTCTGCATAGAAGAAAGGGAAAGGGATTACAAATTTACGAGCTTGACTTGCAAAATAAAAAAATTGAAGCGAAAATGATAGATATTACCTCAGGATTGTACTCGGGAAGACCAGCAGGGTAATACGGTAGTGAGGTCACTCCCGGCCATGTTCTCTCATTTGGTGTCCCCATAATGCTTCAATAAAGGAAACTGAACATAAATACGATTGTAGCAGAAAAAGAAAAATGAAATGCATGCAAAATAAATGCATTTGTAAGCCTTGTTAACACCTAAAATTTTTACGGAGATGTTCATTCTTGGAGGCACCAGCAAACAGATTCTGACGCATAAGCATCTTGGCAAATATACAGCCAGCAGACCACACATCAATGGCCGTGGAGTATACTGGGGAGCCAAGGAGGATTTCGGGTGCTCTATACCATATAGTTAATACCTGAAGAAAAAAATTACCAATTGTATTACATTCATAAAAAGCAATTGAAATTTAAAGATCAAAATACCAAGTAAACAAAGTTTCAACTTCATTTTACGGCCAAAAACAAGATAAAAGAAACAGGATTGCTGAAACCGTGAAACACATTTTTCATCATTCAACTAAGTCATGTTTTATGAAGATTAAAATTCCTCGATTAACAGTTTTAAGTGTTGTATTAACCAGTGTGCTAAGACTAGCAAATGAAAAGAAGAAGAAAATTCATATGTGAACATCATCCACAATGAACGCATTCTGACAATTGGCAAACAAACAACGCAAAAAAATAGATGAAATCATTGGGGGTTAGAAAAAGAAATAAACAGACAATTTGAGTGCCAACGACAGACACTTTTTGTGACTTATGTCAAAGGTTAACTCTGTATCCAATCTACTCCCTCCAAACCCCATCTAATAAGGACTAAATTGGGTATACTTCTCTCCAAGCAAAATGAAATACCTCGGGACTATATGCCCTAAGAGGAATATGAAATGCCCTAGCCATTCCAAAGTCTGCAATCTTCACTACAGAGGCATTGAGATCTATCAGCATATTGTCAGGCTTCAAGTCTTGGTGCATAATTCTGTGCTTATGACAGTACATAACACCAGAAAGAATTCGATGCATAATACACTGCAAAAAATAAAAAAATTAAAATTAAATCTTGAACAAGCAAAACGTAAAATACAATATGGAAAAGATTTATCAACCACCTTTATTCTGTGTTTATCCATAGAATCCTCCAGATAAGTCACCATGTATTTCTCCAAATCAAGGTCCAAATAATCAAAAATGATATACCATTCATTTTTAGTATTTCTTATTACATCCAGCAACCTGTTAACCAAACTTCTGTTAATGGGTTTTTTTTAAAGTAAACAAAGACATTGATTAGATTTTTAATGGGTTTTTTTGAATCAGAACTCCAAAGAAATAACTTACTTGACAATGTTTATGTGATCCATCTCTTTCAGCATGGAGATTTCTCGGATTGTTGTATATGGGACACCATTTTTGCAGTCAAAAGTATACAGTCTCTTTATTGCTACAATTTGATTAGTCTTGAGATTAAGATCTTTCTGAACAGTACTGTAGGCGCCGAGTCCAATAACCTTACCCAGCTTATACTGCCAATTCAAAAGCTTTAGTTTATCAACAACACACAGCACACAACATATATAAATTGATTCATGATGATTATGATATTGAACTACACAAGCACAACACAGATCCTCTACCTTTTCCATTTGATTGTCTCAAAGCTATTGAAGGATAATCCAACGATGATATGATCTAGAAATTTGAAAATTTATCAGAATTTTAGGATTACACTCAATAATAAACAAATGTATATTATTAAAAATTTTAAACTCAAGCGTACATTTATTAAAAATGAGAAAAACAGAGAGAGAGAGAGAGAGAGAGAGAGACTGATTAAGCTAATGCAACTCAAAGATTAATGTAAAACAAATATTTCCAACAAAAAAGAGAGAAGGAAAAAAAACCCAATAAATATATGATAGATTGATCCCAGAATGCACAAAGCTTCGCCTTCCAAGATTGTGAGAAAACCCATAAATTATTGAGTGATAATATCAGACTAACAAGAAATCAAGAAAGCATGAAGTTCATGAATGGAAATTGAGAACATTCAGGAACAAGAAATCAAGAATTCTGCAAAAAAATCAATGATCAAGAAGCGGAGAGTCATCAATATTCTTTCATTTCTATCAGGAAAAGGGTTTAGAGTCAGAACAATTCTAGAGAGAGAGAGAGGTGATGAGATTTCATGGTGAGATATTGGGGGCAAAACTCTGTTTCTTTGGATAATAACCCTAACTACAAAAAAGGTTAATTACTAATGCAGAGAGACATGATTGAGTCGAGTGGAAAAGAATGATTCATATAACCAATCCCATTTGGTGGGACTTCAGGCTTGATTTGGTTTGGTTTGGTTTGGTTTGGTTACTAATGCAGAGAGACCGTCAAAACAGAATATTGAATTCTGACACATAACTTGATCTTCTTGAAGAAATTTGTTAAATGATTGAATTCACAAACACAAATGTGCCAAGAAAGCTTAACAACTATGAGAGACAGAGAGAGAGAGAAAAAGAGATGTTATTGGTTGGAGAGCCAAATGAGATGAAACAAAATTTCCCTTCAAATATGTCAACTCTTTGATGTTTATTTTCATCAAATTAGTTTTTATTTTAATGAAAAAACTAAAATATATTTTAAAAATTCAACTAAACAAGTTCCATGGCATAAAAGAACAATCGCAAATTGTGAAAGAAATAATTGATAGTATTGTTGAAGAAGATAATTGAAAAGTGACCAAACTTATATGCTAAAATTTGAAGGAAAAATTTAAAGGATTTTTTACCATATTGTTATTGTGAAATTTATTGGTATGAAACTTCTGTTTGCAAATTATCCTTTTGGTTAATGTGAGAACCATATTCATATGACTTATAAAATATATAGGATAAAAATGTGGTTTACACATGAAATAAGCTCGCTCCAGAAAAGAAAAAGAAAAAGAAAAATGGTGGAAGTAGTTTTGTTGAAAAGAAGAAGTTCGAGATAATCTCTTTAACAGCAAAATATATATATATATATATATATATACATTGATAATTATAGTTTGCCATAGAAAAAGGGATACCAAATGGTGTAAGTAGTTTTTCCATATTTTTGAAAACAGTAAACAATGAAAAGTTTGAAAGCATTCATCATCTTCATATTGTTTTAATTTTTGTGCGAAAACAGTTTTCAAAAATTAAAAAATAACATTTTCATTTTTTGTAAAAAGTAAAAAATCCCGTAAACAGTTTGAGGAACAAGTCACATTTTTCTCAAAATATTAAACAAGAAAAAGAAAAAGATGCCAATAACAGTCAATTTTAGCCAGAAAATGTTTCTTGAAACCAAATCAAATGGATTGGGATGTAGACAACTTTGTTGAGTTGAGTTAGATTGAGATTTGAGTTTATAAAACCTAATTACAATCTAATTGCATAAAGCCGGTTCCTAGCACAAATTGCTTGCAACAAAAGCTTCCGAGTGTGGAGAAAATTTACAATGAATGAAAAGGATCACCAACAGATAGTCTGTGAACATAACAATAACAACAGCAAAGAAAAGTTAAGGAGATGGAATCAAGGATCATCCTCACCAACATAATCCTCTTATTTTTCAGCAGCAGCAGCATCATCATCATCACCATCATAATCTTCTTCTTCTTCATCATCGTCACCAACATATTTCTTCTTCTTCTTTTTCTTCATCATCATCACCGTCACCATCATCATTCTTGAAGTATGCATGTGCAAGCGCATCAAGAGCTGAAATTCTTCTAGCTGGATTTATGCAGAGCATTTCCTGGATGAAAATGTGCAAATTTAACATAAACAAGATGGTCTAAGAGAGTGACAGAAGAAAAAAAAAAAGAAGGATCTTTTATCGAAAACATTTTCCTACGAAGAATGAAAGTAAACATTTTGTAGAAAGAAATAAAGTAATATTAAACATTTTCCTAGGAAGAAAGTAAAGGAAGGAAGAAAGGGAGTAAACAAAGTAATGACACTCTTTGTTTCAGAAGAAAATATTTTCCAATGAAGAACATTTTTTCATAAAATATTTTTTTGTAGAAAACTTTTTCGTATTGGTTGTGGCCTTGAAATGAAATATTTTCCACCCAAACAAGCCTAGTTTCCATTGACTTTGATTTTTATCCGTTATACCAAACACCAAGAAATGCCAAAAATATTTCATGTCAAGCATAAGTGAGAGAAAGAAAAGGATTATTCATTGCAATCGAAACTTCCAAAGATGAAGATTTATTAGGTTCTATTTTCATTGTTATCAAAACCAAAACTGTCACAAATAGAAAAATGTTCATTCAGATAAAAATTCTCAAAAAGACATTACAAACAAACAACTTACCGAAAGAAGATCAACTCCAGGTTCTGCATCGAAGAAAGAGAAAGTGAAAACAAATTTTACAACTTGATGACTTGCAAAATAAATAAATAATGTATCAAAAACTGATGTTACCTTAGGATCTTGCTTGGGAAAGTCATCAGGTTTGTAATCCGGTAGTGAGGTCACTCCAGGCCATGTTGTTGCATCTGGTGTCCCCATAATGCTGCAATAAAAATAAACTGCATATAAATATGCCTTTAGTGGAAAAATATAAATAAATAAAAGATGCGCGTGCACACAAGCACACCTAAAAATTTTATTCAGACAATCTTTCTCAAAGAATTCATTACACAGGCGCTGATGATTAATCATCTCAGCAAATATACAGCCTACAGACCACACGTCGACATGGGTGGTGTATAAGTGGGAGCCAAGGAGGATTTCTGGTGGCATGTAACATAAATTTACTACCTGATGAAGAAAATTACCCATTATATTAGATTCATAAAAAACAATTGAAATTTAAAGATCAAAATACGAAATTAACAAAGTTCAACTCAGGTATCCTATCAACTTCATTTTAAAGCAATTGTTGTATTAGATATCTAGCAAGTGAACCCAACCAAAAACTTTAAAATAATAATAATAATAACAATATTTGAAGAAAAATCATATGTGAACATCATCTAAGGTGAAAGTCGGAGTCTGTCAATTGCCAAGGCAGCAATGCAAAAATCAGATGAAAGCATTGTGGATTAGGAACAGCAATAAAAAAAGACAATTGAAAGAATACAAGCAATACCTCCGGACAATATTCCCCAAGAGGACTACCAAATTTCCTGGCCAATCCGAAGTCTGCAATCTTCACCACGGAGCCTTCGTGATCTACCAGCAAATTGGCAGGCCTCAAATCACGGTGCATAATTTTGAGCTTATGACAGTATGCAAGACCAGAAAGAATTTGACGCATAAAATTCTGCAAAAGGGGAAAAGAAAATGAAGAAGAAGAAGTTAAGCAACACATCATGACGGTGCAAACAAGCATTACATGGAACATAATATGGAAAAGATCTATCGACCCACCTTTATTCTTTGTTTATTCTTAGATATTTCGGGAAATTTCTTCATGAATTTGTCCAGATCATAGTCCAGATATTCAAAAATCATGTAGCCTTCTTTGTCAGTATTGGGTAGTGCTTCCAGCAACCTGTTAACCAAGGTCCTGTTAAGTATATAAGTGAAATATATAAAGTACTAATGATTCAATCTATCTATCTATAATAATAATAAAACAAAAACAATAAAAAGATGTAAATGAGACCTATTTATCAAAGGGTGTGTTCAGTCTCTTAGATTTTTTCAGAATTAAAGAATGCCAAATAGTCCCCTCTTTCAAGTTTCAACAAAAATACAAGCAAATTAGGACGTTTTTTCTTGTCAGACGTGATATGAAAACATTATCTAATTGGTGATATCACAGGTAAAAGTACCAATTTAATTGTTTGTCACACGCAATCATCGCAAAGGTAGTGTTAATTATCCAAAAAACCTGTGTGTTTATGTGCCAACATGCTCACACACAAAGGCATAGAAACATTGATCAGATTTTTAATGGATTTTTCATAATCAGAATTCCACGGAGATGACTTACTTGACAATGTTGTCATGTTCCATCTCTTCCAGCAGAGAGATTTCTTCCATTATTGTACTTGGGACACCGTTGTGCAAGTCCAAAGGATGCATCTTCTTTATAGCTACAGTCTGTTTAGTCTCGAGAAGAAGACCTTTGTGAACAACACCAAAGGCACCGGATCCAATAACCTCACCCATCTCATACTGCCAATTGACCGGCTAGATTTATTGACAAACACAAGATAAATCGATGATGATAATATTGAACAGCATAAGCATAACACAGTTACACAGATCCTATACCTTTTCCATTTGGTTGGATCAAAGCCACCGAAGGATAATCCAAAAGATGCTGTGAACTAGAAATTTTCAATTAGAACAGAATTTTAATATTATTATGCTTATTTTGTACTAGTGAAAAAGATCATTAAAAATGTTAACTCAATCAAACTTTAATTACACATGAAAAAATCAACAAGACAAAAAAATTTGCAAACAAGTTGCTCATATGCAAGAACAGAAACAGGGAAAAATCCTCTAATTGTATGATAGATTGATCCCAGGATGCACAAAGCTTCGCCTTCCGAGAATGGGAGATAGTAACATGATATTCAAAAAACATAAGCCAAACCCAGAATCTATGCTAATCAAAAGAAGAAGATAAGTTATTGATTGATAATCTCAGACTAACATAACATCTTAAATAACATGTGTGTAAATATGGAAATTTGTATAGCTATTGATATTGATCTATCAAGAACTGAAATATATATATATATATATATATAATTAAGGAAAGTGAAAACACTCAGGAACAAGAAATCAAGAATTCTGCAGAAAGCTTCAAGAAGTAGAGTCATGAATATTCAAGGGGAAAAAATTCAGTAAATGTATGATAGATTGATTCCAGAATTTACAGAGCTTGTAAAATTCCCAATCCCATAAATTATTGAGTGATAATCTCATACTAACAATGTATACGTAGAGAATTGTATATATATATGAATTGAAATTCACCCATCAAGAACTTTCAAAAATAAGGAAATAGAGAAACATTCAAGAACAAGAAATCAAGAATTCTGCAGAAAACATCAGAAATCAAGAACAGAGATGCCAACAAAATTATTCAATAATTGAATTCGGTAATACAGAGGTGCCAAGAAACATATGTATCGAAATGTGCATATATCTCCATCAAGGATTTATGATAAAACATCACGAAATTGAATGCGATAGTTTCAGATTTGAAGAAACAGTGAAACCCAACTGCTATAGGCATATATTTATATATATATATATATATATAGAGAGAGAGAGAGAGGAGCTTACTTGACTTGATTAAATTGCTTCTCTAGCTCTGTTCATAGTTGAGTTTTAAAGTATGTATTATATATTTATAGAGAGAGAGAGAGAGAGAGAGAGAGAGAGGATGTTAGTTGGGGCAGCAACTGAGATGAAACAGAATTTCCCTCCAAATATGGTAGTTTTTGTTTTCAAAAAACTGTTTTATAGTTTTTTTTTTTCCCTTTTTCTCATTAGTAAAAAATTTTATATTTTAGGCAATTTTTTTAGGGAAATTTGACGGTAAACCCCTCCTAACTTTTTTTTGTTGTTAAAAGGACAAAAATTTAGTACTTTTAAAACTCCCTCATAATTATAAAGTCCGGTATGAAGGACAAAATTTGGGATAATTCTATTTCCACACACCAAAACATCTCACTCCACATTCTCTCTCAATACGCACACCAACTAATTTTGAATTTTATAATTTTATTCAATGCACAACTTTTTTTCCCAAAAATATCCCTCTATGTAGTCCAGATGAAAAAATTATCCGCAATGAGTAATAACTGTTAAGACCTTATGTTATCAGCAATGAATAATAACTGTTAAGACCTTATGTATTCATTGTTGCTTGGAAATAGATTCCTCTACTATCTCTTTGCCAATTTAAATAAATGAATAAACTATAAATAAATGATACACAACAACCTGTTTTTTTTCCAATATTTTTCAGAAGTTCCTTTTTCTTTTGTTAGATAAGTAAAAGGCATCACTTCAGAGCTCCAAGAAGAGACAAAAATCTTTAGAAACAAAATTGCTTAAATATAAGCTCATACTTAAAACATGTGTCTGTCCAAACATGTTAATAAATCAATACACAGACCACAGAAAGAGAGGAGGGGAGGGCGGTTTTGCGAAGAAGTTGTAGTGGAGTTGATGGTGGCGGCAATAGCGTGGGCAATGAGCGGTGGCTAGGGTTAGGGTTAAGAAATTCAGGTTTTGGTGGAGAAGATAAGGACACTTTAGTAATTTTATTTTAGAACAAAACTGTAATAAAAAAATAAATCATTAAGTGTGCGTACAGAGCTAAGTAAGTGTGTGGAAATAGAATTTCTCCAAAATTTGTTATTTGAATATTTTATTTGACCATTATACCCTCTCTTTCTTTTACAGCTCTCTTTCTCTCTCTCTCTCCCTCTCTTTACTAACTCTACAGTTGTTCATCGTCTCCACCACCTTCATCATCTATCGGCGTTGCAATCATCACCATCGACCGGCAACCACCATTTTTACCATCAAACCACCACCATCTCAAATTTGATACCTACAAACTCATATTTGAGATCAATAACTTCAAATCTGAGATTAAAAAAAATAAAAATAAAAACTTAGATTTGACAGAAAAATGAGAAATCGATATATTGCAATGAAAAATTAAGAGTTTTTTGTTTGTTTGTTCATAGATCTAAAAGTAAAATTTGACTCTGGTTCGTTCATTTAGTGTGTACTCTATTTTTGTAATAGTAAAATTTTACTCTAGTTAACAACATGATGATCTACTTAACAACAGTAAAATTTTACTTTGAATCATAGTAAATTTTATTCTGCTTCAGAGTAAAATTTTACTCTGAATCAGAGTAAAGTTTATTATAATTCAAAGAGTTAAAGTAAAAAATGAAGATCTCTAAGACTTAAAGTAAAATATTTTGACAAATATATACCTTGGGTAATTTATATTTAACATGCGTTTGACTTCCATTAGCAGAACTTAATTGTTCACTAGTTTTATGATAATATTTTGTGGAAATTAAACCTTCTTGAATACAATTTAAATCAGCGTCGGTATCAATGAGAGCTATGACTTCTATTTTAAAATCATTAATAACTAGTTTGACTTTCGAATGCCATTTTTGAATATGAATTCTATTAATAATATTTAAATAATGACTATCATCGTGATTATCATTATTAGATTTAGTTGATCGATTATCAAAGATGATGTTGCTAGGATTAAGACTAGAATTGGATTCTTCTAAAGAAGTATTATTCGATTGTTGGAAATCACTAAGACTTTTATGGATTTTTTATATTGCAATTTCTTCTTCTAAGGATTTATCTTTAGTTTTTAATTCTTGAATAGTTACTTTAATTTGGTTAATCTCATTTTGTAAGTCTTGTAAAGTTACCTCTTTATGTTTATCCTTTCTAAACCTTTCTAAAGTAGTGGTTAAACTAATTATAGGTTTATCTTGATGAGGTTTCTTTATCTTTATTCATTAGCAAAGATTTGAGTTTATTCATATATTTTCTTTTTAATTCAGGATTTTCTAATTTACTAATTAATTCTATTAAAGAATCTTCTTCTTGTTAAGATTTAATAAGAACATTGACTTGTTTACAACAAGTATCATTACATCCTAATTCAATTTCATCATCCGTATTCTCACTGGGAGAATAATAAGTGGAAGTATCACCAGAAGGAGCAGTATCGCTAGATATGTGACTGGAAGTATCAGGAGATTGATTGGGAGACTTGGTTAGGTTAAATATGTCAAATATTTGTTGTTGATTTTCGTCAGTAATCTGTAGTTGGTTAAGTTTAGTCTTAAGTTTTTCTTTTACTTTGCATTTATTGGAATAATAACCCTTTTTTCCACAATTATAACAAGTAACATTTGGGATAGATGATTCCTTTTTCTGAAAGTTAGTAAATTTCTTCTGATATTTCTTTTTTGGTTTAGTATAGCATTTATCAGTTGATTTAGAAGGGGAATATTTCTTTTTATATTTAATGGAATATTTATAGGAAGATTTCTTTTTACTATTTTTATTTTGAAAAAGTGCTACGGGAGGTAAACCATATTGTTCACAGAAGTTACCTAATTCATATTTGGCTTTATGTTCTTTTTTAGCAGCTTTTTGACTAAGCTTCTAATCTATGCACATTTTTAAACCTTCTTTTTGAATTGTACTAATTATATCACCATAAGTTAAATTATCATATTCTATAATACCAGTGGTTGGCTAAGAACATCTCTAATTTTATGGGCAAAAAGACTGGATAATCCATTGATAAATTTTTCTTTCCAAAATGACTTAGTACAATCATCTCTAAGCATTACTCTAGAGGTAAAAACATCTTTATACCATCTAAATCAAATAAAGAAAAGTAAATAAAATAAGAATAGATAAAATAAACTTACAATTAAATAAAGAAAAGTAAATAAAATAAGAACAGATAAAATAAACTTACAATCGTTCATTGGAAGTAATCGGAAAATACAAAATTGTTTACTAGAAGTAACTGGAAAATACAGCTTCTACTTGCATCCTTAAAAATTGAATTTTAAAACAGGAAACTAAAAAAATTTACAAAAACTGAGAGAAACTGCGAAAGAAAATTGTGAGCTCTTTCCCACTCTGAATTAGCCTGGACTGAGGAGCTTCTTGTATAGACAAAGTAGATAACTGTTAAGCTTATGAACTTGGAACTGTGAGGTTCGTGATTGGAGCTGTGAAACTTGTGACTTCAAAAGCTGGAAAATAGTGTGAAACTTGTGACTTTTGAAAAGCCTGAAAATAAGAGGTACATGGGTGCTGAGAGCATCTTTCTATGACTGAGAACTTTTTTACTCTTTTTTTACTTTCAGTGAAGGAACGTGACTGCACAGTTGACTGATGGGGAATCAATATATATATATATATATATACATCAGCAGCTTTTCTCAAAGTAAGAGTAATGACTGAAGCTGATGTATATATATGGAATCTAATGACTTTTTTAGGCATATGGGTCCTGAGCATCTTGGAATTGTGGACCATATGGATCATGATTGGTTGAGGCTTCAGAGGAGGCTGAATCATTCGAGGTTTCATCTTCAATTTGTGACTTTGCTTGGGCCATCAATAATTTG